CATGCTTCTTCTGCTGTTCAGGGACCTTCACTGTCGCACAGCACAATCTCACTGACATCTGAATCTAAATCTATGGTTTTAATCATTTATACATAAGTGCAAGAGCAGGTTTATGTGTTAATGTTCAGTGCTATTGGCTAACATTGTGTCAGTTAAACCTCCTGGAGTTTCAGTGACAGTGAGAGTACAGGCATTCTCCTCCGATTCAATTCAGTTTTATTTGCCAAATCACCAATAAAAGTTGTCTCAAGACACTTTACTTTACTAGACCTTACTATTATGATCATTATTATTATTATTATTATTATTGAGGAAACCCCAACAAATCCCCCCTGAGCAGCACTTGGCGACAGTGGGGAGGAAAAACTCCCTTTAACGGAAGAAACCTCCGACAGACCCCGGCTCTTGGTGGGGGGCCTTCTGCCTCGACCGGCTGGGGTGAGTGGATAGAGGAGAGAGGAAAGAAAAGAAAAGCGACAAGACACAACAAACAGTCAAACACTGGGCAGGTTGATGTGGCCGGTGACTGCTCATCAGAGACGTAAAGTTCCAGAGCCAGGGCTACCTGCAGAAAGGTACAGGGAGAGAAAGAGGACACACTACGGGAGAGAGGAGACACACACTTAGTGACATGTAATGTGGCATATAGATGGATGGAGAGAGAGGAGAGGAGCTCCACACCATGGGATGATCCTCAGCCTAGGCTTATAACTAAGGGAAGATACAAACTTATCCTAGAATGCATGTCCAATAGCAGGATGACCCAGGCCCCCAGTTTGCTTGCAGTTATCAAAAAGGCTGTCAGTCTTATCCCTGTTCAGCCACATTAGTTGTTCTGATGCCATGAAATATCGGAAGACACATCGCAACATACTAAGTACCTGCCTACCCTCCCTCACTGGCCTACTAGGATTATAATGAAAACAACAATATTAAGCTAACTATAAGCTTTATCAAGAAGGAAAATCTTAATTCTAATCTTAAAGGTGGAGAGGGTGTCTGCCCTCTGAATTGAGACTGGGAAATGGTTGGAGAGGAGCTTGATAGCTAAAGGCTCTCCCTCCCATTCTGCTTCTGTGGACTCTAGGAACCACAAGTAGACCTGCACTCTGAGAGCGAAGTGCTCTGTTGGGATGACAAGGCTCTACGAGGTCTTTAAGATACGATGGAGCCTTGTCATTAAAGGCTTTGTATGTTAGGAGAAGGATTTTAAATTCTATTCTGGTTTTTACAGGGAGTCAGTGGATAGAAGCTAATATGAGAAAGAGATGATCTCTCATGCTAATTCCTGTCAGTACTCTGGCTGCAGCATTTTAGATTAACTGGAGGCTTTTTAGGGAATTACTGGGACATCCTGATAGTAAAGAATGGATACTGATAAAGAGTAGCATGAGTCCTGCACCTGGCATCAAAACTCACTGTTTTGGGAGTCGCAGCTCAGTCAAACCTGAACACACAGACCTGACCCAGTGGGATGTCCACTTCCTTGGCAATGTCAATATCTCTGCTGTCCCTCCAGAATAAACCTCCATAAACCCACTTAGACATCAGAGGAGAAGAGGCTGCAGAACATGTTTAACAGGGTAAAAAGCATCCTGACCGCTGGAACCTTGTCAGTGCAAACTAAAATAAAGGTTGAATAAAAAAATAAAATGAACACAAGCATTGTTAAACTCACCCTTTCCATAACTCATGTTGATTGTGTTTGGGGGCCATCTTCAGTGTCCACACTAATATGTCCTTCGCTGTTGCTGAGATGACTGTAAATCTGAGTTGGCTGTGACGACCGGCTTGGACCGGCTCAGGCTCGGTGTTGATTTGTAACTGTGTGAAGGTGAAAGTGAGAGATGTGTGTTAGCTCCACACTGCTGTCTCTACTGTATGTGACTGACTCTGAATCCTAATGAACGTTTGGCTGCAGTTTAAACTTTTCAACCAACCTGAATTTCCCCTCTGTGATTGTTGTACAAAGACAATGACTGACAGCATTTAGGGATGCATTGACTGTGTAACGAAATGCAGAGCAGTCAGGCGGTGATGTGCACAGGCTGTTCACAGGGGTGAGTAGGAGATCTCCTCTAATGAAGTGCTAGCAGCCTGAGAGCGTCTGATCTCTGTGGCCAGACACATGGTGCCCTGTGCCACAGGAGGTTTACCTGTCAGACTGGCGTCCTGCTGGTAGGTACAGCTTCAGTCCTGCCCTCAGTTTCACACTGCCCCCTCCACCTCCCAACATTAACTGACAAGTAAAGCAAGTGAGACTAAGTAACAATTAATGTGTCCGCTGCAGTGTGTGGTGTGACTGTGAATAACGAGGAAAGTTCTCGCTGACGGCTGTTGATCGATGCACCATGGCTGTCAGACTCAGCTGATCCTCAGGAGATTAACCGCGGAGACGTCACTCAGCCAGAATCTGGCTGAGGTGTGTTTGTGCTGGTGCTGTCAGGATCCCTCCCCTGTCTTGTCACAGCCCACGTCCTGTGAGCACATCCAGCTGTCCGCATGGTTTCCTGTCATATTTATGTCGTGTCCTGTCATAATTTTTCTGTGTTGATCTGTTGTCTCAGAAGATTTGGAGCTCATTCTTCCTCTCCAGCAGGAAACCAGCTCCACACTGCACAGTACAACAAATGGTTGCATTACTGCTGTAGAAAATACTGTCAGGATGTAATGTGTTGGTTCTTCTTGATTTCCTCAGGTCAGTGAGCTGGAGGCCATGATGAAACACATGGAGAAAGTTTTGGAAGAGGAGCAGAGTGGTGAGTCTGAGCACATGCTGTCAATATAAAGTAGTAGTACTGTACTCAGTGTACAGTATAGTGAAATGTTTTATACACAGAATGTGAACGAGGACACTCAGTCAGATGGCATGTACCTTCCTGGCGTGTTCAGTGTTCAGCTGCCATTAAAACACAAGCCTGATTTGAAAATAAACACTGCTACAGAAAGATTACTTCTCTGAATGGCAGCATTTTTCAGTTCCCATGGTGCTTTGCACTCTGTGCACCACCTCTGGACTTCTGTTGCACAGTTCCTCTCTTCCTTCAGACACTGTACAAAGGGGTGGCCGCTTTTTGCAGCTGTTGACAGTAGGACACAGCAGCCACCCTCCAGCTTGGTGCTGTTAATGCTGTCCTTCCCACGCAGACAGACATTAGTGACTGGATGTTTATTCCTGCACTCCCCACTCTGTCTCCTCTTCACTGTCTTTGTCCAATTCACCTTCCCCCTTCATTGCAGTCCTCCTCCTCGTCCTTCGCCTCCCATCTTTTCAGTTCCTGTTGGCCTGGTTCAGTCACACTCTCCGCTCCAGTGTGAAACCTGCTCGTCTCGCTCCACTGACCTCAGAAAAAATAACACCTGAGCTGTTCACCTGAAGATGAAACTTTGCTCCCTCTCACGTCACTGCTGCTTCTTTCCACCTAGGAAGGATTCTTTATAATCCCATGAACATTTAAAGTAAAACTCTCAGAGGATCCGTTTGACCTTTGCACAGTTCTGCTCCTTCTATTTTTATTTTGATTTTCTGTCATCCAGACTGAGATTAGAATATCTGCATTAGCTTTAGGCCTGGGACTAAAAACCAGAAGGTTAATTGGATCCTTTCTCCTCAGTCACTGTTGTATCATGTTTCTAAGGCAGCACTGTGAAAATAAACTTCTACTTGGCAGATGGAAATCACAACAAACAGATAACCTGACACAATAACGACAGAAAAAACTAAACATACTGTACAATGAAACACAATAAAATAAAACAATGTAAAACCATAAAGAAAAACAAACAAGACAGTGACGAGATTTTCAGGCCTGTTGGGCAAGTTTGACAGATGTATTAACAAAACAGATAAATAAAACAACAGGAATAATCTGCTTAGGAGAATTATTTGGTCAGTTCTCATGTAAGAGCCTTCTTGAACAAACGAAGCAGTCTGGGACAGCCCTGTGTTGGTAGGGAACACCTGGACTCCCACGTGATCCATACAGTACCAGTCCCATCAGTAGGACAATTGTAATTTCTACTTAGTTTTTTCCAGTGCTGTAAGGCTGATGTCAGCAAAGCTCAGCACTTCCTACATAATTTTCAAATTAAAACCCTTCCTGCAGCAGGGAGTGTGCCCCTTGAGCTGCTAAAAAGCTTTTATTTACATCTGAACAGTTTGTGCTGGAAGATCTGACTTGTACTGACAGTGATGTAACAGTAAAGCACAGGAGTGACTAACTAGCCACTGACTAGTTCTGTTGTTGGACTGAGGAACTAACGCTGAGAAATGGACTAATTTTATCAAGACAAGTAAACAAGGAGCCAGTTTGTATCAACAGACAGTGAAAAAGGGAGCAGATCAGAAAATGGTGGGTTTTTAACCAAAACATTGAAAACTCAACAGAGGAGATGGAGGCGTGCTGCTCCCTGCAGCTGAGAGTTCACAGTGAATGACAGAAGGAAAGCTGGTTATTCAGTCTGACTTGTTGCAGCTCGGTAAATACAAACCAGACGGTTGATGTATTCTAGTTTAATGGAAATGTGTCATTTTGATGCAAATCAAACCAAACACTGACATTTGGATTCACACAAATAGTTCTGCACCAGTTCTGTAAATTTCTGGATGAGGTATGAGACCGAACAAGCAGGAGACAATTACAAAGCAGACGGTATTTATTTCCCCAGTGGGGAGACGCACAGACGGACTCATAACGCACGTCTGAATATGAATGACAGCATGTGTTTGTGTATTTATTTGAGTGTACTTGTGTTCTGTCCATGATCACATTTCCACATGTGTGTGCAGCTGGTTGCCATGGTTACAGTCACATTTAAACGACGAGGGCTCGGTTGCGAGTCGGTTGTTGAATCATGTTTGTGAGATACACGAGTACATCACTGTCACAGGTCTGGAGGTGCTGAGTTCGACAGTGTCCAGTCCTTCATGTGTATACATGTTTTATTTATCCAGGTGGTCTCGGTGAGAGAACAAGACACATTCAGAGTCAGGAAACATGAGCAGCAGTAAAACAGGCAGCCCAAAATGAGTGAAAACAACAGCATGAATCAGGTAAAGCATTAGCTAATAAGAGATTTTAAGGAATCCGCCCCAATGGTCAGATTGGAGTATCTAAAGATGAGCAGATACTTAAAGGAGAGAAAAGATGTGACAGACAAAAGATAAAATACAATGAGATGATTAGTCCCAGCAAGGACCCTGTGATGCACAGAGCAGCAATGAGGAACAAACATCCTGGTGATGACACGTGATGCACTGTGATAAGATGGGGTTCAGCA